ACCAATATAAGGTCTTGTTATGATTTTTTGTTGTTGTTTAACAGTATAGTATAGCACATATTTATAAAAAAAAAGCTTTTGCTTTTTTAGTTACCTTAATAAAAAATGTCATTAACATATTTTAAATATGTACGCAAGAAGTTCCAAGTTTGATCCCAACCACGTCTCTGGTAGCAATGCACTCAACATATTTCTCTGAGAAAAAAGAAGAAAAAAAAGTATACAAATAAAAAAAAAAAGAAGAACAACAAAAACAGTTTTAAAGAGAATCTAATTCTCTTTAAAACTTAAAACTATGTTTTTATTTTTGATTGGTTTTTTATATAATTTTTTATTTGCGTCTTAATTTGTATTTATTATTTCTTTACTTTTATTATTTAACGTACTAATTTTATTTTTGCTTTTTTCACATGATACTTTTAATTATTTTTTTTTCTATATATATATATTTTTTAACATCTTCGCTTTCAACAAGGCTGCAACCACTATTAGAGTTGGAAGTTACTTGAAAAGAAAAGATGAAGTTTATAGAGCAAGACAATGATTAACAGACGACTTAAAAGGTTGCAAATTATGTGAATTAGGAAAACAAGACAAAGGAAGCTATTTCCAAAGAACTGATGTTTAAGGTGGTCGTCTAGTAAAAAATATGTAAAAAATCAAATTTTTCTTATTGGTGTAGTTTAAAAGAGAAGTTTTTGCTCTTTCAGAAAATATATACTTTTACACATCTTTTTTAATTAGATTTAAAAAAATAATGAAATTAGTTAGTTTTTTCCTTTAGCAATGCCCTTAGCAACAATGTTTTTTGGTTATTTTGGGCAAAAATTATTAACTAAATTTGAAAACATAAGCTTTCTTAAGAATGAAGAAACTTGAAGCTTAAAATTATTTATTGATAAAGAAGTACAACAAGGAGGAAATAGTTATTCTAAAGGGTCATTTTAATTTTTTTATTTTTATTTTGTTAGTTTTCTCTGTTTGTGATATTTCAGACTTAAAACAAGCATATCTCAGCTTCTATAAACTGTTTTTGAATGAAATTTTCAGGGTTTGTTCATCTTTATATTAGTTAGTATGTGAATTAGAATCTATTTAATTCTTTGAGTATTTTAGGAATTATGGGATAGTCTTTTTTTGAATTTTACCCCTTTTTTAATTTCCCCAAATACGTAGAGCTGCCATTATGGATCTAGACATAATTATAAGTTTTGACTGGTTCACATACCAATTTTATATATATCCTGCATGAAAAACCAAACATCATGCAAAACGAATGCACAGGTAACTAGAACTCTTTGTTCTAAGAAATTGATGATTTAAGCATTTTTTTGCTGATTCAGCATTAAAAAACATAAAAAAAAAAAATTAATTTTTTTTTTTTAATAATACAAATATAACTTCTTTATGTTAAAAAATAAAATAAACTTTCCATTAAATTGTATTTTTTAATTTTTTACTAGACGACCACCTTAAGGAAAAAAACTAGACAAATAAGAATTTTTGGATCACTAACAGGACAATGAATTTTAGTAGATGGCACAAGAGATGCTAGCTCTTTAGAACATTGCCCATTATAGTATTTATAGAAAAGAGAATGAAAAGCAGCATTACAATGATGTGATAATGGTTGGAGGTTGGCTGCAAAAGCAGGTCCATCTATATTAACAATACGTTTTTTGTACCTTGTCTAAAATGGAAAGGGCATCATTGGAAGATTCGCCCTAGATATCAAGACAAGAATAAATGGTAGTATCATCAGCGAACAATGCCACCTTAGATGTGAGAATATCTAGAAGATAATGTAAATTAAAAGAGTATAGGGTCAAGGATAGTACCTTGAGGAACCCCTAAAGTTACAGGACAAAAAAAGAGGGCTGTCCATTGAGGGCAACTTTTATACTACAATTAGAAAGGAAGGATTCAATAAACTTAAAGATGTTACCTGATACATCATTTTTGGTAAATTTTACTGTGTATTTGATAACTAAAAGTTAGTATACCATTTAGTATACTTTTATGTTATACTGTTTACTATACAGTAAACTGTATACTGTACAGTAAACTGTATAGTATACAATAAACTGTATACTATACTGTAAACTGTATACTATACAGTAAACTAGGTTGCCCATGAGCTCCCATTCTCTGGATATGGATGCTCTAGATTTGTAGTTAGATATAGGAATCCATCTCAAGTCCTTGAGAATGTGTTTTCTTCAGTTGGTGGTTCAATGAAAACATTCTTTTAAAAAATGTCAAGTAAAATATCAGAAAAAATGTAAATAAACAATGTTTAACTACATAATAGATAATTATTTTTAATGATATTTAAACAACATAAAAATTACGTTTAACAACAAAATAAATAAAATTAAGATTTAAAAATAATAAATAAATAAAACGTTTTTTTGCTTGTTTTAGTTCAGATGAGAAAATGCTTGTAATTTTGGAAATTTTAACAAACAAGCCATGTTTTAATAAAAGACTTCTTTTAAAGGTTAGTTTCAATCCATTATTTGACTATGTATATTATATATATATAAATATAAATGTATGTATGTATATATATATATATATATATATATATATATATATATATATATATATATATATATATATATATATATATATATATATATATATATATATATATATATATATATATATATATATATATATATATATATATTAGTGGATTCTTTTTTAGTTTGTCATGCCTTTTTCTAAAACATGAATAATTGTATTCTAAGAGCAATTAAATAAAAAGTTATTAAAAATTTGAAAATTTTACTAGGTCAAAAAAAAAAAGTTACTTTATGGAAATAAGACAAAATTATTCCCTATTTTTTTAGTCTTTTTTTATTTTATAATAAGCTATAGAAATACGACAAAGTTTATAAAGTTAAGTTATAAGTTATTCGACATTTGCATAAACATTTCTGTTAAAAAAAGTCTCTTAAGAGCATCATCATACTTTGCTCAGCAACATTGGATGTCCATAGCTAGGAGTCCTCTCTCAGCTACCTCATTTTTTCTATGTTAATTCTTGAATGAGATTTTAACACCAAGAATATGTCTTGTCAGATCTTCTTGGGCTTTAATGTAGCTTAATGAAGTTTCTTTTAAAGTTTCCCAGTTGGGTTCCTCTCTCATTTAAAAACATGTAAGTGACCAAGAACAGCTAATAAACTTAGCTATTTCTTTCAATAATGGTCGTTCTTCAGGAATTAGAAAGTAGCCTAACAAGACATATATTGCTCTGCTGTTCTACCTTGCTGAGTGAGAACTTGGTAATTTTGTTGGTAGCTACAGTTTGGGTAAAATATTGGTATCCAAGTAGTGCCTAAATGCAATACATAACCTTGAAAAATAAACAATAAAATATATCAACGCATTCATCACATCTAGTTTAGTTAAGTTTAGTTTATTCAGTAATCGATCATAAAATCACACAAAAAAATTAAAGCCAAAATAAATAAAAAATTGATAGATGAAGAAGGGCAGCACCAGGCTCCTCTGTTCTGACAGTCTTGTGCTGCATACAAAGCAGCTAAAGTTAGATAAAAATGTTTTTAAAGCACTTAACACTTGCGCATTAATAGTCTTTTGCCGAAGAGCGTTCCAGTGACATACAATTCGATTTGTAAAAAAATGTTCTCTTTCAATACAATGATTTACTCTTTGTTTATCAAGACACTGATTGTGACTTTGAAGATTGTAACTCAATCTAGCTAAGTGTTGGACCTGTGGCACATTAGAAAAAAAATCTTGTCATTGTTTTGAGTGATTTTAAATTGCTGAATTAGGTCGCCCTGTGTTCTGCGGTCTTCAAGAGTCTTCAAACCTAATATTTGCATTCTTTAGGCGTATGGTAAATGCTTTAATAGTGCAACCATTTTTGTCGCATGCTTTTGCACTTTTTCTAGTGTTTCAATGTCGCGTTTTAAAAACGGCAACAATATTGGTCCATCAGACTGAAGGGCGATGACCATGCGTTTCACTTTTTTAATCCCATAATCATATAGTGCCACACCTTTTCCATCAAAGTGTAATATAAAGGATAATTAAACAGACAAAGCTTCTTTAAGTTTAAGTAGTGTTGTGACTTGCAACCTTTGACCAGCTTTAAATAAAAAATAAAATTAATATAAATAAAAAAAGATTATGAGTAATAATACTTTTGGAAATAAAACTATTTTTATTTCCAAAAGTATTATTACTCACTTTAAACTTCCATTGGGGTGGTTCAAACGAAGACTGAAAATCATAACCATTCACAACTTTATTCAATTTTTTTGTGATGCCAGCTCTGATGACATGCTAAATTTCACATTCCAGAGCTGTTCTAAATCTTTTGCTATTATTTGTATAACAGCTTGATGCTGGTGCAGGGTGTGTGTCAACTAGATGGTGATAGTAGCCAAGAATGTGCCGGACTTCTGGAATTGTCTTGAAATTGGCCAAGGATTTCGTCCGTAATCCATAAGGTGCTGCTGAGGCAAGCAGTTTCCGATATTCCTTTGAACACGGTGGTATTAAGTTGTTTGCTTTCCTCTTTAATGTTCCCTTAGCACTTATGTGGGACGTATTTGGGTAAACATAATTATAACTAAAATAGAAAGTTGAAAACAGTTACTTTATTTCTACTCCACCAATAATAGTTAAGCTAGTTTCATATTCACTAATAACTTCAACTTATTTAAAAAATATCATACAAATTATCCAATTTTTTGCATAAGTATTTTGTCTCATTTCCATAAAGTAACTTTTTTTTTGACCTAGTTAAATTTTCAAACTTTGAATTATTTTTTATTTAGTTGTTCTTAGAATACAATTATGTTTCAGAAAAGGTTTGCATGACAAACTAAAAAATAGAATCACACACACACACACACACACACACACACACACACACACACACACACAGATATATATATATATATATATATATATATATATATATATATATATATATATATATATATATATATATATTCATAAAAATTTAAAGATTATTGGTTTAATAATATCATTAAGGTTGTTATGAAAGAAAGAGATTTTTATGCTAAATGAATTCTAAACAATCCAAGAGGACTTGAACTGTTAAAAAAAGCAAGTGAAAATAAAATTAACACTTTTCTAGATACAACAAAAACCTAGTTTTCACTGGCAATTTTAACAAACATCGTTTAAATATTCAACTCAAGTTTGACCATTAATATTTTGACAAAGTTATATGAAAAATTAAACATTACAATACAAAAAAAAAAAGCTGACATTAGGATCTCTCAAATTATTGTTTGCTAGCTACTCAAAACCAACCTAAAGAAAATTGATGTTTTCTAAAAAATTCCCTTTTGTACACTGTGCGACATAATGATAAGACACCCCAAAAATATTTATAAAACTCTACTATACATTTATATTTAAAGAGATCCCTAAGTGCTATAAAGATATGATCTCATATGAAAGAGCATAAAAAAAAAAATGTTTGATGTATATTATTTTTTCTAAAACGCAATAATGAACACACACTAACAAATTTAATTTTCAAAAAAACGCTTTTCTTCGATTAAAAAAAATGCGTCTTGTCCAAAGTTTATTGACTCTACTGCCTCAAAAAACTAACGTTAGTATGTCAAATTAAACAAAGTAGACAAAATGTCATTATTGCAAACTTATTAGTTGGTAATTAAATTTAAAAGTAAAGTCGTTTTTTTTCAACTAACACATAATTACTTTAAAGAATAAGTTTTGTAGCATTTTGTGAAAATATATTTGTATATTAAAATTTTTTTTATAATATTAATTTATATATTAGTGTTATAAGGGCAATTCCACGGCTAAAAATGAATAGAAGTCAAATTTTAAACTCTTTTTAGTCAGTTAAAAACAAATGAATATTGACTTAGACATATGAAAGTTTATTTAAAATATTTCCTTAGTAAAAAAATAAATTTATTTCAGTAATTTTTATGGTTTCAAAAGTGATGGTTCCTCTCATTTTTGCTTGATAAAAAAAATAATTATTGTAAAATGTTTTAGTTAAATTAACATTTATGTTAAATTGCTATATTTTTTTGGTTCAAATTGATAAGGTTGAATAGACATTTTATTAGAAATTAATCTAAGACAAGGCTTGAATTAATGCAAAAAAATCTAATCGCGAAAAATTTTTTTTTTTTTTTTGCTCTCTCCCCCTCCCCCCTCTCTCTTATAGCTCGCGCCGATGTGCGGTAATGGGGGGAAAAAAATTATCGTCAATAAATCAAAAAACATCGTCAAAAACTTAGATACCACGTTTTTTATAATTTATTGTTTCTTGAATAAAGGACTAATAAAAGTTTAAATATAATTAAGTTTTTCATTTAAATGGTTGATGTTTTTATTCAATTTTTCTATTTCAAGTTTTCCAATAAAAGATAAAACAAAAAAATTTGGTTTAATAAATCGAATTATACTTCATGTTTAAAATAAGGCTTAAAAACATTAAAGTAAAAAAATTGCTGGTTTTTATTAGCATATTTATACTGTTTGAAAAAAAAAACTAATAAAAAAGAATTAACTAATAATATATTAATTAATAATTATATATTAATTCTTTTTTATTAGTTTTTTTTTAAACAGTATAAAAATGCAAATAAAAGTCAGTAATTTTTTTGCTATAACGTTTGTAAGCCTTATTTTAAACATGAAGTTTTGATAAACAAAGATAAAAACCAACTTTTCAACTTTTCGCTTAAACGACCTTGTAAAAATTTTCCACGCAGAGATTTAAAGTAATTTAAATTCAAAAATGTTTTATGTTGAAAGAAAATCTTCGCGCGAAAGAGCAAATCATCTATTCATCTATCTATTCAGAATAATAAATTTTGTGTGACGTTCTTTATGATAAAAACATTACTTTTAAGAATTGCTAAAAAAATGCTAGGCTCAAAAAAAAAAATAATCAACCAAAAAAAAAAATGTCGCGAAAAGATTTAAGAAAAAACTAATCACAAAAGTGTGTGTAGCAATCGCGATCGCGATACGCTTAATATGAGCCCTGTAAGACTTTTTTATAAGTTCTAAACTATTTAAAACCATTACTTAATAAATTTTTTTCAACGACGTCTTTCAACTGAATGCTATTATACTGTTTTTGCAAAACTAATTAAAAAAACTTGATTAAAAACTAACTATTTAATCACAATTTTATTTACTTGAAAATCGAAGTAGATATTCTAAAGTTGTTGTGACGTACTAACGTGATTTTTAACAACTAACAATCGAGTTTCAATGGTGAAAAAATAAAATCAAAATGGAGTTGTTTTTTAGTGATTTCGGCAATTACTTTTTGTTAGCATGCATTTATTATTACAATTTAGTGAAAAAGAAAAAAAACTTACATATTTTTTTTTAATGCTCTTTCATATGAGATCATATGTTAGGAGCACTTAGGGATCCCTTTAAAAACTAATTTTTATAGTAAATGAGAGCAAAAGGATTACAAAACTA